GTACCTGCGACTGTTCAGCAGGCTTCTAGGGCATGACTAAGTCATCGGCCCGTCGACGAGAGACGAGGGGCGACAAAGCCTCCCCCGAGCAGAATGGTTTCTTGCCGTTTCCTCGAACGACGAACCACTTGTCTGCACAGAAACGGAAAACACCAGACACCTGCATTGCAACATAGGGTAGGCAGAGCCGCTTGATGCTTGCTTTGTGCGTTTATGCATCAGACTGACAACATTGGAAGAGGCCCAATGCCCAAAACGACCTCACGGTGGTTCAAGCCCTCGACCCAGCGATAGATTGTCTTGGTCGACGTAAAGTATGCCTGCATTTCCCAAATTTTCCTACGTGCAGATCGAGCAAGCAGCCCCCTGCTGTTATCTTGGTGGAGATTCTGTCAGAGGCTCATTTGCTGTCAGCAGAGAGTTCCGCTGCGATGTTCTGCTGTCGGGTCTCATGTCGGCTCAATCTTGCAGGTCGGCATTGGCGTGCGGCCGCTTCATCCATTTCCGCCGCAAAGCGATGGATAGGTGCTGTCTGCTGTGGCACATGACACAACCAGGGTTGTGGCTGCTCAAAGGGGAGTCAAGAACGGTTTGTGAGAGGACGTTGACGAGCTCCTGCCTCCTCGCTTCGCTACCAGGGCGGCATCAACCGTGTGGTATAGCCGTGCAAGTGGTGGGCAGTTGCCGCCCTTTCGCTTCAAGCAGTCTACGGGCTCTGACCGCAGAGGCCTGGCGGGTGGGCACAGGTCGCCCAAGCTTGGGCGACCTGTGCCAGGCCGGCATTGCAAGAAATGGTCCAGCCCCGTCAGGGTTGGAGCATATGCTGCAATTCTGCTACTTGACGCGGCGTCTCGACGATTGATGCAGCTTGAAGCTTGTCCAAAAGTCCAGGCAAACCTTGTTTGACTTGTCAGAGGAGCTCGCTCCACACGGAAATGGAAGGATCATCCCTCGAGCTACCTGTCAGAGGTGTGTCACCTGCATCTGCAGCTCTTGAGAACGGCTTGTGGAGACTGAGTCATCGCAGCAGAGCACAGGGTCAACAAGTGCTCCCTTTAGCAGAATCAGTTCGTCAAACGACTTACCTGCTGCCTGTGGACGAGAGAATACATGATGCAAGGGTCGTTGTCAGCAAGAATCGAAGAAGACCATTGCACCTTCGAGTTGCGAAGTTAGTCCAACCAAGCGTCTTGGAAAGAGTGCACGGTTTGATTTTGACATGCCAGCAGGATCCAGCAGGAATCGACCCGGTTTGGCTCACAGCTTTGAGGCGCATTGGGAATGCCTTCTAGCCTACCGTCCACGAGGCGGCAGACGGGAGCATCGGAGGGCAGGCCGGAGCCAGGGCGAGGAACAGTGAAGAAGAGAGGTGGCAGAGGCCCAAGGTTTTCAGAGAGGCCTCCAACGCAAGAGAACAAGCGCATCCGGACATCTTCATGGTTTGACTCTTTCCAGGCATTGACTGGCCTGCATGGCAGCTTCAGGCCGGGTGCCGAAGCTCACCAGCCGGAAGCTCTGCCAGCCTTGCCCAGGCTCCGCAGTTCCTGGGTCAGCGAGGCTCCGCCCTGCTTGCGTGCTACGGAACGGCAGAATCCGTGGCAACTCGCGCAGACCCCGAGCTCAAGTGGTTCCAGCCACAGCGCCGTGTTGGCTTCTCAGCCAACGTGGGCTTCAGATGCCAGGCCGATTCTAGCAGCTGATATGCATAGTCGGTGTTCAGTGCTCGACTCTGCGTGACTACCATGGTCGCCGGAAGTGGAACCCGATGTCGTGGGAATCGCATCTCGCAGCGGCCCAGAGACCGCGGCAACACAGATATCGTCCATCGCACGTGCCGACAGGGCATTTTGTGCATCGCATCTCCCCAAGGTGCATCAGGCTATGGGCGAACCCTTCGCAGCGCTCTCAGATCGCTGTTGGCAGTTATTGATCGGTGGATCTTCTCTGACAGAGCTGTTTCTGCGGGTGTCTTGTTGTTGAAAGGTTGCTTTCAAGGTTCTTGTTATTGCCTTATTGTGCATGGACTCGATGGTTGAAGATGTAGCTGCTGGTAGACTTCAGAAAACAGCCAGGAAGGGCGATTGTCGAAAAGACCGAATCAAGAAGAGCCTTCTGTAGGCCTGGCGCCGAACGGCTCAGCCCAACCCGTTGCAGCGGGCCCGGATACTGTTTGGCAGAACCAGGGCAACAATACTAGTGGTTACTTGCGGGAAACATCACTCGAATATTGGTTCATGACTTAGAACGATCGTGACTCGCCGTTCATTATAACAAGAGCAAGAAGTGGCGAGACTAGGAATTTGCAATGATATCACCGATGCCACCGGAGGTATCCCTGATGTGGGTCAGAGCCATTAATAGCAGCAGTCCGTGCCATAGTGGCAGCAATGCTACTTGGAGCATATGATGCAACGACAACGGTAGGGATAGTGACGAGGTGATGAACGGCAAGCCAGCCGATGATGGCAAGCTCGGAGACCACCGTAGACAACCGCTGGACAGCTGACTTGACGGTCAAGTCCTGTCAGACAACCCCAAGTATTGCAACACTTTGGCCAGCAAAATTTAGTCGTCACACGTTGAACTGCTAGTACGTGCTAGTACGCCCCCCAGCATTTCTCCACGGTTCTGCTCGCATTGTGAAATCCAAGTCCGGACTCAGGGGCTTGTCCCCATGCATGGGTTGCCCTGCTTTTCGAGCCATTTGCATTCCGTCACGCCAGCTTGTTACAACATGTTACAACCATAAGTGAATACTGATATCGACAAGCTCATGAGTGTGGCTTGCCTGTCCGCCGCCCGGCCAAGGTCGGTTCGGTCGCACTAGAGGCAAGCATGCTTCTGGACAAGGGGTCTTCCGGCGGTGCAACAATGAAATACAGCTGCTGCCGCTTCGGTGATCTAGGTACCCTTGCATGAACGGATGCCAGGGATCCCAAGCTCCAGTGGAGCGCACCTCTGCAGGGAGGAGGAGGCGGGTCATGCCACGGCATCCACGGCCTGCCGGTCCACGAGTTCGGCTTTTGGGTTCCTCACGTTACTCCACATGATGAGAAACGGCTTCGCTCAAATTGTGTTGAAGGCTTCCCCAGACGCGCCTTAGTTGGGGCTGCAACTCCTTGCATCTGAGGGCCCGATGTCATCGGACCAACCGAATGCTCTCCTAGCAGTTCCCAGGGCCCCGTTTCCTTCGCAGCCATCTCGGCTCCGATGCGAACCGGGCCCTGTCTGCGCAGTCCAGCCGGGCTCGGCGCTGTCCTCTCCAAGAGCTCCTGGACAAATCTGGTCCAGCGCACTGCGAGTTTGTAGGATAAAAACCACAAGACTAGCACCTAATCACCCAATCTTCTGCTAGGACATGCAAGGAAGCAGTGCAGGGTTGCTTGATTCTGCTGCCGTCCTTTTAAATCTTGCGGTAAGCCTACGCTGAAACTGATAAGGAGGCAGCCAGCCATTGCCCTTCATATTCCCCACATCAGACGAAGTTCCACGAGAAGGCAGGGGACTTGTTGCGGTCCTGCCCTGAAAGGCACAGGAAACCGACGATCCCAAATCCATATTTCTTGTCGAGGCGCCGGTTAGCTGAGATCCAATGCGCAGCTTGGCGGCAACAGTAGTTGGCGGTCCCGCAGCATCATACTAAGTTTAAGAAGAGCTTCGGACAGTAGCATGGAAGCAGTGCAGTACTCTATGAGACACCTCCTTTTCACGTAGCTTTGGTGGCGACCTGCCCGCCGCAGCCTTGTCGGCAAAGATTGAAATTGAATTCCAGAATTTCTCCGACACAAGGCCGTGGCCCGTGGCCCTGGGCGTCGATCCGAGACTAATGCACGGATGATAGGCTACGGGTTGCCACAGCAGAGGCGACGATGTAACTGCAAAAATGAGACTATGCCGTTTAGGTCACACTCGGCATTTTGATCGACGGCTGCGCCGGCCACGACCTGCTGCAATCGACGATGAAAGGTAGGACTGCCATGCGACGCTGCCGGTCAGCAATCCCCTGTGCAGCATTGGCATGGGCACTGTGCTTCTCATGCTTCATGGTGCTGTCGCCAACAAGCTTCATCGCTCCACAAAAAAGCCGCTCAGTCCTGGAACCAAGTGCTGGGCTGGCTGTTGCCGCCGCAGGGGCTGCTTTTGAAGCTGGCACGAGTCCAGCTATGGCTCAGCAAGAGACCTTTGCTCTTCTTGGCAAGAGCTCCGCTGACCTATTCCCGCTTTCGAACTTGAGCATCTTGACTTGGCTCTTGTTGATCGTCGCCCCAGGTTGGGAGTACACGAAATCAGCTGCGCTTGTCGCTCCAGTCATCAATGCCGTGATGTACGTGATCGTTGTAACATTCTTGATTACACATCCACCTCCAGATGCACCAGCAGTGGACTTTGGTAGTCTGAGCTCTATTGTCACCGCTTTCCAAAATCCCGACGGTGTCTTTGCCGGTTGGTTGCACTACTGCGTCTTTGATCCCTTGGTGGGGCTCGGCGAGGTGCTCGACAGCCAAGAGAACAAAGTGCCACACGCCTTGGTCGCAACATGCCTGCAGCGCCTAGCAGCCCAGGAGCCCAGGGCCTAAGAAGTGTCCCCCCCCCCCCCCTGGACCGTCCCCTAAGCTGACTGCTTCGCAAGGTACCCTGCCTCATCCTGACTCTGCTGTTTGGGCCGATGGGTTTCCTGCTCTATTTGGCCGTCCGAACTGTCACTCTGGCTTCGCGCCCTGCAGCCAGCGAAGCATGAGAAACTCTCGCCTGGTGGTCGGAGAGGCGCGTTGCTAGGCTGACAGCACCTCGACATTAGGATTCTATGAATGCCGACAGCAGTCTTGCTGCAAAAGCCTCTCACGGGTCAGGGCACGGTTTGAGGATTTCAGCAGGCGGGAGAAAGATCCGCCAACACCATAACGGACAAGCCAAGGTCTGAATGGTTTGCTGGGCATCATCGCCGTCGTCACATGCTTCGCACCTCTCCGTGCGCCAAGTAGAGTTTTTCCGTGTCGGTGTTGCGGCTCAGCAGTTGCTCCAGTTTTGTACTGATGGCAGGTGCGCACATTGCGCGCGAAAATCCGAGCAGACGAGGCGGCTGCGGGATCTGCTGAAGCTGGTACACTTCAAGACACTTCCCCTTCTCCCAGGTCGACAGCAAAACTCACTACATCGTTTGCGACGCTGGTAGACTTGAGCTAACGATAGTTCGAGCTCTCTTCTCCATGTCGCAGCCAACTGACCAAACGGTTCAATCTTGAGCCCTTGGTGTTCTCTGACGAAACGCTTGAAAACCAAATAGGCTAGTAAGATGAAGCAAAAGCAGCACCGAGGCCGCCTAAATGTAGCCGCGTTGATGCCTGCAGGTGCCCAACCTGAGCAGCGCCACCTATCACCGGAGGCAACGTCAGTGCTAAGACAGTCAAGACGTGACTGCGTAGACTCGCATTGACACATGGTACCGTCAGCTCATGGAGTGTGCCTCTGCGATTTCCTTTGCCACCTGAAGCTTCCGTCGAAAACCGTGATAACATGAATGAAGTTTTGCTTGAACGTGCTTCTGCCGTCCAGGTGAAGGTTTCCCTCTCTGCATCCGGGACAGTGACAAGAGAGGAGTGCAAACCTGGGGAGAGCTCTCTGCACCATGGTTGTGTCGTCATCACGCACGCTGATGCAATGCCTGGGCGGGGGGGAAAGAGCAGGAGGAGAAAATCAAATAACAGCGGCAGCAGTAGCGGCAAAGCGACTGTTGACCATCGTAGCGTTGTCGTGGTTGTCATCGAAGCAGCAACAGCAGCAGCTGGCGGACCATGCGCAGTTACTGCAACAGTCGTGTTGTGAATCTATTCCCAGATACGAATGAGAATAAGCGACAGCAAGTAAGATGAATATAGAGCGGCTTTTGAGTGGGTGAAAATTGGGTGGCTGGTAAGCAAGCCGAGTTGAAAGTTGAAATAGCATGGATAGCAATCGGACGGTGACAAGGTGAGGAGCAGCTGCAACAAGTTTAATATCGTCTTTCTTTTTGATTCCGGTTCTCCACGCAGAGGAGTTCAGTGGAGCACGAAGCAGCTTGATGCGGCGAAACCTGAATTATGATGACACAGCTCAGGCAGGGGAGCCCCTGATCTGCGTTCAGTGGTGTTCGTGAGCGGGCACCAGAGCACGTAGCATGGAGAAGCTGGGTGCATCAGGATGAGGACGCTGGAGCTGATGCAGGTGATCCAGATTCCGATGCAGAGTCAGACGAGGTTGCCGGAATGGAGGGGTGGAATTTGGTGAAGCCCAGTCTTGACCAATTGCAGGCCGAAGACAACGATGATGCCAAGGCATTGATTGCTCGGAAAGGGCTTGGAAACTGGCGGTCTCCCGTGTTTTCTGACCTGGGTCATGAAAAATAACAATTGTTGGCAAGCTTGGGATTTGGACCCGACTCTCTTGCTCGCAGGAACCAGCGGCTTGCGACAGTGGCGGTGAAACCACATATCGCAGTGGGGACCCCAGAGGAGGAGACAGCCTGTGAGCCTTGAGGCTACGAGTTCTTCCCCTAAAAACCCTCAACCCCTAAACCCTAAACCCAAAGGTGCCTTTGGGCAGATGGAAAAGAGGTGATAAAAATAAACATCAATAAACCCCAAACCCTGGCCCCCCGTGCTAAAGAAAAAGGAGCCGCGGTGGAGAGACGGCCCAAGCCCTGCGACTCTCCGCCGAGGCCCTCGCAGCTTTGAGGTCGAAGCCCCAACTCAAGACTCGGCCTCAGATTCCAAAAGAAGAGGGGGGTTTGTGCTATATTTGCTAGGTACCATAATGAATGCTATCTCTATATATATATATACATACATATATACATACGCTCTTGCAACATCCTAGCCTATAGTATGGAAAAACAGAAAGCTTCAAAACTCGGGCCTGCAGTGCGACGCTTTCTGTATATATATATATATATTATATATATTATATATATTATATATATTATATATATTATATATATATATATAAAAGGGCCACTACCATAATGAATATGGTAAGGGCCACTAGAATGAATACATTTAGGGCTGCTATAATGAACACTCTAAAGCTTACTAGTAGGGTTACTATGACTATACGACAAGACAAGGTCCTGTATGAGCACATACGAGTGTTGCCGCGTCACTTCTGTGAGTGTTGGAAGTCAGTGTATTTCGGGGCAGTTTAATTTCAAATTGTTCGTGAGAAAGTACAGAGCTTCTTAACCTCAATTGCGGTAGGTGCAGCAAGTGAAAGCAAAAGTGTGGGTCCTAACAGGCACGGGGCCTAAAGAAGGCAGATGCGCATGGGTTCAAGAGGACAACCATGTGTCCGAAAGCCATCCAACCAACAAAACATCTGGAGTTCTGAATGTTAAGTTGTTTCGCAGTTGAACTTGTGTGTCCAAGTGTGTGTTGCATGTCTGCTTGGTATTTCTTCCGGCTGCCAAAATCGTGCTGTAGCTGGTGGCTTGGTCGCGTGGGTTGTTGATGGTTTTTGATGGGAATGCCGCCGTCTAAGACAAAAGTGGCTCAGACATCGAGTAGGCTTGCCACCTTCGCCGAACTTGGTTGCTCGTAGTTCGCACTTTGGCCATTCGTTCTCGTTTTTCGTTGTACTATTTGCTTTCGGTTGTTGGTGGGTCTTGATCAGTCGTTCATTTATGTTCATCTTGGTTAGATAGTTCTCCTGACAAGTAGCCTGCAAGAGTCGCCGCAAGACTTTGCTGACCTCACACGTGGAGGCGCTGCACCAGACCTGTCTGAACAGGTTCCTTTCACGCTGTCCCTGCGCATGCGTTGGACTGGGGACAGTCCGCCGGACCTGACGCCAAATCCAGTTGCTCTTCAGCATCGAGGTGCCTCATTTGTTGTGGCCATTGCTTGTGCTGGAGGAACTTTGCATTGCAGAGGGCCTTTGAAGCCTGTGTTTCGCGATTCTCAGCGCAATGTGAAGACCCAAGGCTTGTGTTATCTGCTGGACGATTGATCCGGACTGCCGGGGGAGAGGGTCGGGACTGTCATTCGTTCATTGATGTGAAGCCTTCAGCCATGCACAGGCCACACATATGCCCCCCACATCGCTTCCGACAGATGCCAAAATTTAAAACGGGCAGATTGTTCTTCCCGAATTGGCGACTCGAGCCGTGCCGAGCTCAAGCGAAGGGCTAAGGAGATTTTCGGGCTACGGCTCGATACAGACACCTGTGCCGCATCCGGTCGGTTTCCGGCTCTGGCATTCCGTGCCAGCAACTCCCCGGTCAGAAGATCGCATGGGTAGGCAACTGGATGTTATCCTTTGTGTCAGCGTTTCTATCACAAAACTCGACACAAGGACAGACGCTAGGCTACTGACCGACAACCGCGAGGGGTGCCACAACAAGAGGCAAACACTGCGCAAGGCCATTTGCGTGTCACTGGTCCAGCCCTGTACCTCAGAGACAGATTAGGCTTCTCTGCTTTGGGGCAAAGTGATGGCCTAATGTCTCATGGAGCCTGATGGAGCAAAGCTGGATCTTTGAGTAAACCGTGTCCCAGCACGGCCATCACGGAAGCTTGCTTGATCATGCGAGGACACCACGCCAAGTACCAACAAAGAGCAGCATCTTGGCCCTGGTTCTGGCATATTCGCCCTTGCAGAGCCGGATGTGGCACGACATGGCAGACCTTGTGTGAGCGAGAGAGGGAGATAGAGAGAGAGAGATAAGGAAGTAGAATGGTGTCCAAGCATGTCCTTGAGCAGCCAGCGGCAGGGGGATGAAGTATCTTTGATCCTAGGCCTTTAGCCCTTTTGTGTCATTACGAAGCCTCCTGCCACAACATGCTCTTTTGATATCGGGGGGGAAGACCTACTGTAGTCAGTCCCTGGATTTGTCTACATCTTTTCGAGCGGTTGGTGTTGTACGTTACTTCGTGAAGGTCCGGGGACTGAACACGCTTTGTAGGTACGTACAACAGGCACAGAGACCCCGGGTACGTGAACTGGTACGCACAGTGCCCTCCCCGAAAGCCCCGAACACATGGGGGGCCCTATGGGCCGGGGAGCTTCGCACGCTCCCTTAACCTGAAGGAAGAAGATAAGGAAGTCTCGCAAGCCGACCCCTAAGCTCTGCAGAGAGAGAGAGAGAGAAACACAGGGTTGGGAGGAGAGAGAGAGAGAGAGTGCGTGTGTGTGTGTGTGCCGCACGCACACATGCAAGCAAGCTGCAGACCACTGCACACACACGAAAACAGAACATGAAACTCTGACAAGCCGGTGTGTGACAGGTTCTATCAAGGCTTGGATGGCCAGCCACCACGAATTGTCGCTCGGCAGCGGAGAGTTCGGTTCCCAAAACGTTGTGTCTGGCCAAAGAGTCATGACCTCGATGTGCGAGGCGCTGATGCGCATGGGGAACGTGCTCAACTACGATACTTGTCTTTAATCCAGCCTAATGCGTTGCGAAGGATAGCAGAATGCCACATGACAGGGCTCATTCGGACTTTGGATGTCGCAAAGCCTGATGCAATGCTCAGGAAGAGTACGGAGCCGATGGAGGTACCGGCACCGTCAACCTTTTCACCTCAGCGTCTTGTCCGATGTTAAGCGATGCTCTAACCATCCACTGGGCCCCAGCCCTTGCCTTTGACGATGAATGATGCAATCGAATGTCGCTTGTTTGCCCAGCAAAGGGCAAGCAGCTCAACGACGGAGAGTACCACGAGGCCCGAAAGTGCTTTAACTTGTTTGAGGGCATGGAGAGTCACTGCGGCAGACTGAAGTGAGTTCTTCGGTACCAGCAAGCAGGCGTACAGACAGTCTGAGAGGTCAGGTGCTGTCGACCATGTCTTCAAGCGCCAAGAACTTCATTCATCACCCACCCCGTTAGGTCGTCGTTGTTCGCGGAGAGTCCCGGATTACATTATGGACACTTGTCTGCAACCATGATTCCATGCAACTGCGACGCCATCTTTACACTTACATGATCCTGGACACCATTCAGGATTGATGGGCAGCCTGATGCCTTCATTAGTAGACAAGCAAAAGGTGCGGGGCTCATCAGCAGTTAACTTCATGGCCAGGCAAAGGGTATGGAAGTGATTAGATGATCTTGTTTCGAAGCCACGACCACGGTGGACTTTTGTTTCCAGGCAACAACTTCCAAAATGCAGATCTGCCGGTGGGTGGCTGGGCAGCTACATGCACCTCCTCGTGCCAAATGCAGCATTTTTGCGTAGCCAAGGCAAGCCAAATGCCATTACTGGCAAGGCCTCAACATCGAATGAGTACTTGCGGAAGTCCCCTTCCAGCATCGAGCTCGCTTTGTATGGGCTTTTCTCAGCTGCTGGCGCAGAAAAAGATCCACTTGCACATGTTTTCAGACGAGTGTCATCTGAGGCAAGTGAAGAACACAGCCTCCTACAACAAGGCGCGGCTGCGCGGCTGGGCACATCCCCGCGTGTACCCTGGATCCAGAAGCCCAGTCAGGTCGACCCGAACAATGGCAAGTGGGCCTTGAAGGGGGAGGCCGGGTCCAGACCGCCTCCTTCATATAATATACAGTAATACACATATTATATATATATATACACATTATGTAACTCAGGTCTCTTGCTCGTGGTCCAACCTCAGTCTTTGTTACACATGTAATTCCCCAAGTGGTTCATGCACCAATGAAGAAGTGGCTAGGCAGACGCGTCGTGAAGTGTTTCAGAAGACTCCGACACCAGAATCGCCAACACGACTATCACTGGCTCCCTAAACACAGCAGCGTAAGCACCACTGCCGGGAACAACCTCACCAGCAGCCGCCTCCTCTCATCATAACAGCAACAAGTCATGTGCCGAAGATTCGCTGATGCTGGGTTTCGGAAGGTCACCAATGTGAGGCTGTACTACACTGCTGTGGCCTCAGCTGTGCTTGATTTGTTGACGTGGATGGGGTCATAAGTGCGAAGAGCCTAAACAGAGGCTACCTAGGCATGCTGCCTCGCTCGCTGATCTCATACAGCCCGCTAATTATTGCGAGGTTTTCTAAAGTGTTTGGAAAGCTCGCCTTGAATGAGAGGAGGTGGGTGTTGAAGGAACAAGCCGCCCCAAGCGTGACTGCCTCTTTTCTTTGCCTTTCATCGCAGAAGCTGTTACGATGCTTGCAGTGCTGTAGTGTCGGTACAGCGCAGCAGCTACGAGGAATTGAGCGCCAACGACTTCCCCAACAGCAAGACATCTTGCGAGGCCTCAAGCAAGAGATGTAACCGACACTGTTCGAAGGGTCAAGCTCCATTTTGTTCCACGGCTGCGTGCTCTACCGCTGTCAGTTCAATCAGACCATAACTGCTCTTGGTTCTGCACAGCCGGTCAGCAACAAGCGCAGGCCACCACCACGCAAGCCAGGCCCTCAGCTCGAGGAAAAAGTCCATGCACTGCAGGGCTGCAAGCTCTCAGACAGCTTGTGCTCGGTGAGCTTAGCCGCGCAGTTGGGCTCAGAGGGGTTTTCACCGGCCCTCGGCCCAACGGAGGGCCTGGGTCCTCGAGGCGAGATGGAGTCGGAGAGGCGTTCGAGCTTTTGACCCTTCGTCGCGAGGCTCCCTCAGTGGGGCGATGCAGCGCTCGGAGTCCGCCCCTGGAGGTGCCACGTCTCGGACCATAGCCCTTTGATGCCCTTGGCCCCCTGAAGCGTTCACAATGCAGGCGTCGAGAGCTTCCTGTCCGGACGACCTGCAGCAGCCGCAGCCTCTTGATTCGGAATGTTTTTTGGAGATCTTCGGAGCAATGAGTCCGTAGAGACATGAGACAGCAGCATGTTGCGGACAGTGATACTGTGTGGTAAGGACACCGAGTACCTCAGCAAGCTTTTGCCATATGTGGGAGCTCCACATCATTCCCGGCTGATGAGCATGCATCCGCTCAGCGAAATCAGGACGTCAGCTTCCATGATTCGTAACAGTTGGGCTCCTGACTACTGTACCACTTGTCTCATTGCACGCATCCGTGTCGTAGCCACAGCCTGCTGCGTGCCCGCCAAGTTGTGGCCAGTGCAACATGCCACGATGTCTCGGCATGGGTTCCCAGTAGCGGTCCGGCCGGACCGACCCTGCCTGTTACTGCACCATGTGCTTTGTCGAGTTCAGTTTCCGTCGGGCAGGAATGGTTGCCAAATGGAGGGAGTCAGCATGAAGGAGGCTGCTGGGAATGAATGATACGCCCAAGCTCTGCCCGACAATCTCAGTGCGGCGACAGACTCACATTTTCACACAAAGCTTCCTACTGCCATGTCGTTGCTGCGTGCTTGTCGTATGACTAGAGCACACAATGTATCGTGGAAGAAGAACCTCGAAAGAAGTCAGCGGCCAAACGCGGCATTGAAAGCTTATAGGGCTGGCGCCCGAGTGAGCACCCGAAAGCCTGCTGAGCCATAACTAGAAAGAGGAAAAGCTCAACTTCGTGGTAGTTGAAAGTGGGGTTGAACAGACACGAACTATGACGAAAGCTCACTCCAGAAAAACATCGTGCTTTGTTCAGGGGATCTACGAGGTAGCCTGGCCTAAAATAAAAACCCGAGGTATGGAAGCGACGGAAGCTCGGCAGCTCGGCTGGCAAATGAGCAGGAAGTTCTCGAGACTGCCTGGCATTTTGACGGAAACAAGCCTGATGAACAGGGATGCCATGTCATGATTCATATACTATCACATATTCCCCCCCCTTCACAAGCTCCTCCTCCTCTCGGGAAAGACTGACGCTAGAATGCGAAACCTGCTCATTCTCATTATTGCTTCCGTTTCCCCCCGGCCGGCTTTCCAGCCGCAAAAACAAGCAATAATTGACATGGAGTTCCCATTCAACTATTTCCACCCAAAAGAGTGGAAGTAAAAATCATAACAACAATAACAATCATAGGAGCAATAAGCACAACACTACTAATACTAAAGCAGAGTAGCAGTGCTAATAGGCGGAGTGTCAGCTGGGAAGTGTGCCATCAAGCACAAATTTGCTCAATCAATTCCATCTGGGCAGGCAACTTCGTGCTGCAGAACTCGACGTCGGAATCGTACCAGTCACATTGTGAGGCGGGAAGAGGATACAGATGCCTGGTTAACACCCTCACCCGCAGCTCAGCAAATGCGGCATTTGGATCCCCTGCTCGGCTGCATGACTTGCAGGCAGCAGGGCCTACGGCAGCTGAGCCTTGGCCACAAACAAAACGCAGTCCAGTTTGCATCACCTACATGTACGTACTGACGTAGTGTTGTTGTGGAAAGCATCGCCACTTCTCTCCAGATTTGCACCGTGCTGTTTGAACCGCAACCGAGGAGTTCACCTCCAATGACGCCATCAACAGAGTGCGACGGAAGCATACGCGGTCCGGCCTTGCACCATGTGACAAGTACAAATGGATGAAGGCCGGGGAACAGCACAGCCCATTCAAGAGCCGTCTTGACCATTCTTGACCGTCCAGGTGGCCTCCACATCCATTGGCTGGCATGCGGAGACTGATCACGGCCGCTCTTTGTTGAGACATCCCGTGCATCTCGGTTGAGGACCTTGAACTGTGAAGGCCTGCCTAAGATCATGCAATCCAGACTTGCCCATCTGAGGCATGGCATTGCCGAGTCCACAGTCACGAAGACATATAGCAACATGAAGGCACGGTCTGGATTTTTTCCGCCCAGGCAGCTTTGTATCAGCATCCAAGCACTGCTTGTCTTCATGACTGGCTCGAACAAGACCTACGGAACTTTAGGTTGTTGGCTTTTACAACGTAGATTCTGAAGGGTTGGCCATGAGAAGCAATGGTATTGATTTCATGAGCAGCCTGCAGACCTTCATGGTGGAGGCCGCGCCCCCTGCCCGTGATGTTCAGCCGACGGACTTTCGAGCAGATCGGCTCTTCCATCTCTGCGACTTGGTCAGCTTGGTCCAGTTCTCGCATGTAACGCCTTCTTGTCCTGTTGCTCACGATGGCCGTAGGCTTTATCGTTTGAGCATGACACGTCTTTCTTTAACCATTTGTGCAGCTCCAGAAGATGACTGATGAGCTTTTTGTGAATTGGTCTTGGAAGCCGAAGCTTTCGATAGTAGTCCGGGAGCCGCATCAAACTACCGCTTGCAGGTCAAACCAGAGCCTGGTGGGCATCCAACGAAGCAGCCTGCAGAGTTTGTCAGCCTGCATAGTCTGACGGCAGCTAGCTTCGAGGCCAAGCACGCAGAGTGACGCGTCGCCTCGCAGATGATGCGGGGAACTCTTTGGCCGCGAAGCTTGGCCTTGCGGGCATTCGTGTTTCAGCTGGCGTGCGGACAGGATACCTTCGGCTTCAAAAGGATGAGTCTACACTGCTCGAGCTGGGGAAAGCCATGTGCTTGGGTGCAGGTCGGGCGTACAAGGCGCAAGGAGCCGCAGAGTTCCTGCAAGGCCTTTTCGGCAGGAGCTGCAAGTTGGTGCGGACCAGAGAGGCCATGTTCATGTTGAAATTGGAGCAGTTCAAGACGAGTTCGAAGATCCCGACACTGTGCGAAACGAGATGCTCGTCGAGATCGCAGACTACTGTTTCGATCATGGCGTCTTGGATCCTTATCTCCACCTGCGCCCCTGCGTGCAGAGTTGCAGCGGTTCTTTCAAGCGGATCAGCAGCCAGGCCGACTTAGAAGATTTGTTAAAGCAGAAAGCTGTCTCCAGAAGCCAAGCAGGCGTTACGCTTCTACACAGAGCTGCGGTTTCTTGAGCAGTAGCTTGAATCGATGTTGGGGAGCTCCGCAATCCGAGCGTTGGAGAAAAAGTCGCTCAAAAAGCAATGTCCTGCTGGGCTGGGAGTGCAGAATGCTGCCGTGAAGTGACATAACCCAGACCATTCGTCTGTTTTGCCTTCTTGTATCTTCTTGTCAAAGATCGAACGAAATTTGAGCTAGAAGATTTGGCGCTGGGAGAGCCCCAGCGGTCCGAGAAATGCTACAATGCTACTTACCCCAAGTGTGTCTTCATTCCCGTTCTTGCAGGCCACAAACATGGAGGCCTGCCTCCGCTTGTGCAAGTGATCTGAGCTTGCTGCTTGGACTGCATGATTGTATGAGTGGCGGTGTAGAATCACTGATCAGCAGTTTTCTGAGTTATCAGAAGGCTTCATGTTGAAGTGAAAATGCACCTCACGACGTGTAGCTATGCTACTTAGAGGCCGTGTTATCAATATTTATCAATATTCTCGAAGCCTCAAGCACAGAGCTTCGGCTTTTCGATGGCGAGCTTGGGCTCCTGCCAAAGACATTGCCCAAGCAGGTGGCTGTTTTCATAGACGTCTTGAGAGTTTCAGGAAAGATGGGACCAGAACATGGACTCCAAGTAGTAACATACTGATTAGAACTACTTGAATGTCAAGCATAAACACGTCTTCTGGACGCGCGAAGCGTCTGTGAATCAAATCGGTCTGTTCACAGCTTCGATTGGCATTTTCAGTCCTTCGAAGGGGCTGCATGGCCCAGTGTGGAGAGGCCGGCAGCGAGGCGCAGCCGCATTGTAGTCATTTCAGGCCCCAAGCATCGAGATATTTATCAGGCTACAGCACTCGGTCGGCTTCTACTAGAAACGGTTCTTCCAGGAGATTCCAGGAGAAGTAAAACGGTGTGCACGTAGCTGGACAGGTCGGAGCCGACGTAGTGCCTGTCTGTGTCGATCGAAGATCACACGGCGATGGTTTCACACCAGCTCAGTTACTTGCTGAAGGCATGGGCAGAGCAGGACAAAGGTAGGGTGCGCATTGCGATTTCTCCAATTATTGTTGCCAGAGCAGGTGTCAGCTTGGTGACGCAAGTACTTCCAAATTCATGACGATGATCTTATTTCCATGCCTTTCATTCCTTTCAACCCAGCCCATGGTCTTGTCGCAGCTGTCTTTCTCTCCCTTTTATCCCCTTCTTGATGTGATTCTGAGCAGCTCAGGCCCCGGTGACCTGCCACACCAGCTGTGATCGCTGTGATGGTGCTTCGGAGGACACCTTTTGCTTAAGACATGTTGATCCACTGGTTCGAGCTATTCGTTCCTTTTCCAAAGATCCTTTTCATGACGAAAGGCATGTGATGGTTTCGCCCTTGTGACGGCTGTGCATCACGCCAGTCGCACTCGAAGGAGGATTGTCTCAGCTGCAAGGCACGTCGCTTTCTGTGCCATGGAAGCACAACAGCTTCATGTCGTCATGTTATCAGGCGTACGCGCTCAGATGATGTGACAGCTGAAGAGAAGCCGCATCCTTTAGCCAAGGCACGACAGAAAGTGCTTGGAACAATGTCCTGACGGCACCTTCGGGGACTCCGACTCCAAGGCTTGCACCCAATGCCTGCTGCCGAGAACGTAAGGGAAAGGCGCCAACAGAGACAGAAACGCCTTTGGCTCGTTGACTGAGGTCACGACTCCTGCGGCAGTTGTGAGGAACTCAGTTGAACACCCACTGTACATGGACCCGAGCGCCTTCAAGCACTTTGAACTGCGGCCAAGGCTCCGGCAGTGGAGCAGCTTGATTGCAAAGTGACTCTCACAGCGCAAGCGAAGAACGTCAAAGCCCTTGCAGCTGTTAAACCCTAAACCTTAAATCCCGAGTCCTCAAACCGTGTCGGCATAGCTCTGCAGCCAAGGAAGCAGACTGCCAGAGCTGTGACAGCGAGGACAACTTCCTGCACAACGGCCGGTGTTTGACAGCTTGCATCTTGTCTGGGACGGCGTCCGTCAGAAAGCGGACCATTGAGTGAGACGGCCAGTGCTGGCTGTCTAAGTCCGCTTGCAATCCAAACATTTCCATTGCTGCTTCGCGTTTTTCTACGAAGCAGTTCCTGATACTACTTGATGTAAACCATCCAACCTTCCAAAAAGCGATCAACAGCTTCTTGTAGTCCCGTTGTAGACGCAGAGACGGCGCATTGACGGCGCAGACAAAGGCTCCGAGAGAACCACCACTTTCACATGACATCCATCTTACTCTTACCCAGTGGCCGCTGTTTCTTGTCTTGTTGCGGGTGTGTAGACTGTCGGCAAATCAGTCCTGCAAGGCGACCGCTAGCAAAGGTTCTCGAAATGTTGAGGCACTTGCGTTCGGAAATTAGGTCAGCAATGTGAAATTGCTGCTATGTGAATCGTAGCCGGGGGAGAGTGTGGGGAAACGGCCTGTGGTGGTGGAGGTGGTAGGCAGCTTGCGTCGTCACAGAAGTGTTGACAAAGAGGACTGCTAAGTCAATGAACACGAACACTTTGTCCGGGTCATCAGGGCTCTCGTTCTGAATTGCTCTGCCAGCCCAGGCCCTCCACAATTCTTCGCCGATGCAAAGAGAGTTTGTGTAAAGCTGGCTGGCAGCGTGCCTTCGCTTGCAAGTGCCTTGAGACGGTGAGTTGCACCAAGCGCCTTGTTGCCAGTGCTTATCATTGTACTTGCCGTGCATTTCCTTCTTGGTGGACGACCAACCATTGAGTAGATTAAGTGATTAAGGTTGTCGCCTTGAAGACGCACCTTAGCTGGACAAAGGTGAGTCATGCATTCATACATATGCATGAGCCGACAGACCTGTCCTTGCATCTTCTACGACTCGATTCTCATTCTATTAACACATGTTAACCTGCTTTCGGTTGCAGCAAATCATGTGAAGAGGACTCCTTCCTCAGGACCGGTAAGGCTGGCACATTCTTCGTGTACTCCAACAGTACGAACTGCGTCAAGTTGGTGCCTTTGGTGGATGCCTCAGCTTCCCAAACGCCCAGCAAAGCACAGGAAACATTGTCAAGGCAGAACCTGACAACCCTTCTGCGGCATAAGACTGGCTTCGTGCGGTTGCGACAAGGATGACAAGGAGAAGGAGAACCCAAAGAAAGTCAGCGATGAAGCGACACTCCCTGGCACTTCGAAATGTGTGTGTGTGTGTGTGCATGTGACGCTTGATAAGCTGCACTTTTCCTCGAATGTGCACGAGCCTTCACAAACCTGCGGTGATGACAACGAGGAAAATGTGGATGATCTCAGATACGGGCAACGGGGAGACCTCCCTGCGTAATGTGCACTGGCTGCAAGAGCCATGAAAGTGTTGCACACATCCAGCGAAGCCTCGACTGTAAGCGATTGCACGAAAGGTCAGAACGGGTATGGCATTGCACATGTGCTCTCGGCTGCATGAAGGATTTACAGATTTCGAGACTGCGCACAGCAAAGTGCAAGTCACCCATCTTAGTGCTACTTGGGCCGGCCAGCGTGAGCGGTGTAGGCAAGGGCTCAGGAGGCATACCCGGCTGAAGCCAAGGCTTGCAAGGCCACGCTCGCAGACGAAAGAATCTGGCTGCTCCGAAAGCCTGTCCAGCTGCGCAGTGGCGCGGCCACCCACGCCAGCAGCTTTGCCAGCAGTCGAGTTGCTCCAGCGTGCTCTACCACCCGTTCGCACTGTACTTCCTTGAAGGTCCTTGGACAAGACGAGCTTTGGACGGACAACGAATGGGCAAGCAGCGACTACGTCCGCAAAGGTAATGTGAGTAGGATTTGGAGGATGGGTGCAATCAACGTGATCTGAGTGTTTCACAGCTGAGGTAAGTGTGACAAAAGCGCTTTCACGGTGACGCCAGCAGGCAGCTACAGGGCTGCTAATCCATGCCAGAGGCATCAAAAACGTGCGCAAAACGAAGTCCAAGCGCTTCTTTGAGCTGGCAGCTCTGTGCCGGAGGTCCATCGACGATTGGCCTCAGCATCGGCAAACGTTGCTCGCAAAATGGCGCAGAGGTAAATGGGTCTCTGTAAAGTGTCAGACGAAGCCTATACTTCGGCTTCAGTGTTCTTGTGCTTTCTTTCGGAGGGTGAGATCTCAGGTTACCTTCGCTTTCACAAAGAGGCGGTCATGATGTCGGATGAGGTGGATGCAAGCCAGGCTCTCGGGAACGCCTTCGAGAGTTTTCGGCCAGCAGCTAGCAACCTGGCACCTTGCAGACACCGGACGAGTGAGGGCTGCGAGCTCTGAAAGCCGAGGTGAGCCAAAGCTGGACAAGAGCATGCGCCGCGATCTCAGCGCAGCACCCTCGCTCGTTGTCGACTCTTGAATCTGGTACATAGCTTGATCTCCTGAGCGAGTGAGGACATCTCTATGCCTCGCAACTGGGAAGTGAGCCAAAGCTTTCCGTGGCTGCGAGGCTTTGAGCCGGTGGTCGTGTTGCCCGCGGTGGCCTCTGAGTTGAGGACCCGAGGGCGATGCGGGAAGCCTACGGGGTGTGTGTGTGTGTGTGCATTCTCTCGCAGTATCTCGTGCCATGAACAAGGCAAGCAGATGATCACCCAGTCGCTCCAGTGTTCTGCCGCTGCCGGCGGACAGGCGGCATGGACTGCGGCATGCCTTTATGATCACCTACCTCCCATCCAAATGTTCACATTGATGTTTGACGGGCTGCTTTGGGGAGCTTTGTGACGGCAGGCAATTGATGCTTTCGCCGACTTCACTGAGCAGAGTCGGCCACTCAGAACCATGGGCATGCGGCCTGCGGACACTGGGGAGAAGATGTTTTGGCAGCTGCTGATCATGCTTACGAAGAATGTGGAGTAGCTAGTGTTTGTGCACACACACACACACCCACGCGCGCGCATGGACCCACACGTGTGGATGCAGATATTAGATTGTTGTGTTCACACAGCACAGCGATAGCACAAGGGGGTGCTGCAAGAAACTCCAAACTCCAGAGGGCTAGAAAGTGCAGAAGCCTGGCGGAGCTCGGTGGTCCTAGCACGGGGAGTATGGGTGACGAGTTCAGAGCGCACGAGAACGCAGCGTGATCTGTTGGAGAGCTCTTGCCAGTGAGCACAACTGCATTGTCAGGCTTTTCGGAGGGAGCAGTGGAGGGGTTTCTCAAACATCTTCTGAAAAGGGTCCCCTGGCCTGCCTGCAACAGCAAGGACTAAGAGGCACCGCAAATCTAGCAAGCTATGTCGGCCATTCAGACTCCGCGGAACGCGCTGGAGCAACGGCAACACGGTAAAGTTGCAATCACACTGTCCATCATGCTGTACTGAATGCTCTCAGCCGTTGAACACCTTCGCCCACAAGCCTCGTGAACCTTGCAGCCCGGAAAGCTACACAGCATCACCCTGCGGCTGCTTACATCAGAGCTCGTTGAACTGTGAAACAGCACTTGAGTTAGTTTGTGAAGGCCCGGACACCAGCAAGCCGCCTTGAGCTCAGCTTTGTCGTGTGTCATCCATGGGGCACATCCGCATCGTTCTCTTCCGCATTGCTCACAGGGCACGACATCAATATATATTAATTCTGTACAGTGTCGGGTAAAATTTGCAGAGGTGTAGATCGAAATGAGTCTTCCTTGCACCTTCGCGGGCGAGATGTGTATACTGATACCACCCAAGGAGGCTCCTTTGAGTCGCTTTTGAGTCAGGCCTGGCTGCTACTACTACCAGCACGAGATTTCTGCACCGAAGGGCAGTGGCGCCGGAGTCCTCAGAACAACGGTGCTGTAGGGCGATCCAGCCTGCTTCAGCCGGTGCTGGCTTCTTTGTGGCACCTGAGGAGCAGTACAGCGAGTTGCCTACGAAGGTCCAGCCGGCATGGTCTCATAGAGGTGCTGGGTGATCCCCCCCAAAGATCACACTGAATGCCCCAGCCTCAACTTGGCAACCAGCAAACTGGGACCAGAAAGCGAACGTGCGAGTCGGCGTTGCGCGATGTAGGCTGCTACGACATGCGCTGTTCATTGATGAAGCATGGAACCTGCATCACCAAAAATCTTTTTCAGCCAGAACGCTCATGGCTTCCAAGTGGCAGGTGTCCAGACTCGCCCTGAACCTCCTCAGCTCCGACACTGAGGTCTGACCGCCCGCTCGCACATAAGCGTATGATCTTGCATATTGCAGCTTCTAGGCCAGGCGTAGTGTCAGGAATCATGTGGAGATGTTGGCAGACCTGCATGAGCTTTTTTCCGGACAATCAAACACAAGCCCCGAAAGAGCTCGCCGAGAGACTGGCTGGCATTTGCAAACCGGTTCGATAGACGGAAGCAGGCCGACTACTCTTCCTTCGCCGACTGCTCGTCAAAGATGCCATGCCTTTGCAGCTCGTCGCATTCAGTGCAGTGTTGCGGCAAGGAGGTGTATCGAACAACGTTGAAGCCTTCCTAGATTGAGCAACACATGGAGAAGACATGAGAAGACAAGCTTTTAGAGATAGTCTTCGTGGTTTCAAGCCCCTGCCGTCGCTGCTGGCGAACACGTTAGGCTTTGTGGTTTCAAGGGTCGTCGGAAGCCCCACCGGTCGAAGCTCGCCGGCGCAGCAAAGCCTTCATCAGCAACGGGCGTATGATACCTGTGATGAAAGACGATGAGAATGCTACATACCATTGTGGCGGTGGTTGTTGTTGGTCCTGGTCACTGTTGTGCTGCTGCTGTTATCGCTGTTAGAATAACTAAGACACCTACTCCTTCCTAGTATTGCCATTGCCGGTGCTAAGGGTGTTACTCTTCTATCTTTGCTAGCCGCGCGAGGGCACAATGACAACTACCGCTTTAGCCTTTAGCTCCATCCCGGCGCTCCTCCACGCCGGGTCTGCAGCAAAGGACATATAGTACTAATAGTAGGGAGATGTAGGGAGCACGACACTTGAAGGCGTATCCAAGTTCGTGCCAGCTAAGGCAAGAAGTCGTGACTACCTCTCGCATAGATCTGTCGATGTGAGGCTGGCTCCGGCCTTGCTGGGACCTGCAATGGTCGCAGTTGAAGTCCATGCCAGGGGTCATGGCCGTACAACAGGTCCAGCCGTGTCAACTTCGTGACCGGCGAAAATGTCCAGGTCACGTGACCAGCATGCGGCAGACTGGTACTGCCAAAGTTGAACCCCGGCTTGATCCATTCTGTCTCGCGGGGCAAAAAGGTCATGCTTTTGTTGATGTAAGGACCTTGAGCAGGCGCACACATTTGAGAGCAATGAGTCGCTTCCGGACAGTGCTCCAGGGAATGGTTCCAGGAAGGAAGTTCCGTAAGAGTCAGCACGCTGGATGTTCAGGAGCCTGGGGTGTAGCCAATCGATAATTTGGCGAAGGAATCTACACACGCATCTTGAAGTCACCATGTGTTGCGCTTTCGCCTGGCTGCCATCAGAGCAACTCCAAGCCAGCTCTTTTCAAAGTGCCACCGCACATTCTCGATGACAGTCGCATCTGAACAGCTTCACTCCCGTGCAGGTTTCATGTGCCAGCATCAGCGGACACTGAAAGGCGCGTGAGCTGCAGCATCGAGCAAGCGATATAGCTCATGCTTCCACGCACCCTGCACCGTGCATTTAAGTGCAGTTGTGGTACTTCCGATGCAATTTTTCAGCTTTCGTGCCACTATCTCCAGGATAGCGCCGCAATCGGTGACATTCTCAGTCATGCTTTTGAACATGCATTCAAGCGCTTGGCCCGGAAAAACTGAGTCGATCTCGGAACACCTGTACTGAGTGGGATGTTTGGAGCAGTGTTTCCAGTTGAATCAGTCGGAAGGGGCTCCAGGCAACAGGATTGTGTTCGAGTGCATCGCTTTTCCTAAGGCGCGCATCAATAGATCCAGTCTGACACAGAGTCGAGCAGTCCAGCACCAAGTTTCCTCTCTCTGTCTCGTTGGCTCTCTTTTGCTCGCTTTGCTTCCTTCCTTTGCGATTTAGCAGGTGCTGCCTAGCCGCGGCTCGGCGCGTCCGAGTCCTAATCGTGATGCGGCTGTGACTAGAGCAAGTAGAGTGACGCCCATGCCGCGAAGCACCGCAGGACTTGGTCCTAGACCCAATCAACCGCCACCACCTACTTCTGCAAGCAAGAAGCTGAGATGCTGAGCTGTTTGAGGTGATTTAGTGCGCTTGGACGGTCTAGGGCAGTCCTCTGGCAAGTCCAGTGTCTAAGATCTCTCGGCTTTCTTGTCAATCGGCCGACCAGCTGCTGTTGAGATCGAACTGCAATGTTCAGCACAATACGCTGATGCATGATGATGCATGCAGCCACGCATGCGCATCGGTTGTGAATATATGTGAATATGATAGTATGGTGGTACTGGGCGCAATATGCTCGGCTAAAGTAAACGGGTGTAGTGCAAAACGGCATAATTGCTCGCGGAGTAGTGCTGTTTAACTCTTCTCGATGTCGGACCGGCCTTGGTCTGAGTAAAGCCGGGCCAACGAGGACGCAGTCCGCGGAATGCCCCAGCGCCTGCCACAGTCTCGGAGTGTAGGAAAAATTGAAGTTGTGGGGCTCCCATTTGCTGTGTCTCAAAGCCCTGCGCCGAGGTCCAAACGACTCGGCCGCTGCTTCATACCCAGTCGGCACGAGGCTGCTGAGCATAGCCATCACATCGACTCAGCGTGAAGCTTTCGCTGTCGTTGCACAGGGGTGGGTGCCTCTGCGATGCAGGCTCCAAGCCCCGCACTTGGTGTATTCCGGACAGGAAGTGTGAGATAAAGCCCCGACACTCTGGCAGCCTAACGTAGGGTAACATGGCGCGATCCCTTTGTGGGATGCAGTGGTCAATAGTATCAATAGTAGGTCGCTGCCGAACCCCATACTACGAGAAGCAGGCATCCAATTCCGTCGTTGACTTTGATGCCGTTCTTTCAGGTTCCAACGGCACCGTTCCAACCCGTCTCCGGCACTGGGCGTCGGTGTCCTCGATCCCGCAGCAGGTACAGCACGTTGCCATTTTCCTCTTTGCACCAAACCGAGCAAGTTCGAAGAAAACAACGTCGATGTTCCATGCTCGTCAGGAAGCGCCAGCAAGTTTGCTTCAGGCCATGCAAGGGCAGCATGTCACTGCTTAGCATGGCGTCAGACACCCATTGCGTTTAGCAGTTAGCACTGCATGTTGACATGCTGTGCAGCAATCCTCGTGGTGAAGGCTGCGCGATCGCGGGCTTCCCTTGTTCACCAGCCCGTTCCAGAAGGTCGCACCAGTAGTTGATAGTCTGACAGAGAATTTGCGATGTCACCGGAAGGCTTGGCGGTAGCTCCTTCAGCAGGAAACTCAGACGAGAGCCAAGAGGCTGAGACCGAGAGCCTCCAAAAAGCCCACGCCTCGGACCTGAGGCTCAGACTGCTCAGCCCCACATCCACGTCTCGGCCAATGCCCTGCGGACTCTTGAGCCAATGCTGCAGGCTCCCCCTCTTCCAAGCCAAGCCATGAGCCATGCCATGGGCCATGGGGCAGCTCGTTCAACATGACGAGATTCCTTTCCAGGACGTTGCAGACTTTGGTGGCCGCCTCAGCGATTCAGCGCGGTGGCAACCGTTGCTTCCAAGTTCCTGTGTGTGTGTGTGTGTGTGTGACAGCCTCAGGTTCCGAAGATGGATCCTGCTCGATTTGTTTAGGCTCCGACCTCAATGGCAGCCGCACAACATCCCTGAATGCCACAGGTTGGTAATTACGCGCGTTGCAATCAGTCACGTGAGGGGGGGCTTGTGTCATCGGGTCAGTTTCGACCCTTTCGTCGTTCAGCCGGCTCAAGCCAACGCCGGGCACTCCAGGAGCCATGGTAGCTTGCCAGCACCGAGCCGAACGTTTCTCAAGTCGTCCACCCCTGCGCTCTTCCCTGCGTTCCATTGCTAAGAGTTCGTATTACATACAGGCTGCATGAACTGGAGCCCAGGCACGATTGATGTGGCCGCTGGCCGCAGCTTGATTGAATTGTTGTTGTCTTGTGTGGATTACTCGTATGGCACCCGGTTCGATGTTTGAACCTTGACCGGAACTGGCATGCATGCACTCCGTTTGATCGCCACGACAGCATGCGAATCTGGGAATTGAGTCGAAGGGTTTGGGTCCGCAGCAAACTGTAATCCCGTCTGAAGCTTTCGTAAGACGCCTGCGCGCAGCTACTTATCTATTGTTCGTGATGTTGCCATCCTGACATACGACGACCTTGCTTTCTGCTCTGCTGCTGTGCTGCTGCCGCTGCTGCCCCTGCTGCTGCTGCTGCTGCCGCTGCCGCTGCCGCCACCGACACCCTCACTGCTACTAATTGATAGTAGTAACCACTGCCACCTAATTCCACTGCTGCTGCTGCTACTACGATGACGACTGCTCCTTCTCCGACTCGAACAACCAGAGCTTGCTTTCTGAGGCAATTGCCATCATTGTCGTTGTAGGTACTGGGTACTAAGTAATCGTGCATTAGCTTGAAACAGTGATCATCATCAGATCACAGGTCCTGGCCACCCTGGCCTCGGGCGCTGCCTTCGTTGCAAGCACCCCACGTTCGCTTTCGGTGCCACGGGTCCAAGGAGTCCAACACGTGCAAGGAGTGAAGGACCGGATCTGAGTTGTGGATAGAGGCACTGACAACTAGAACGAGAGCTGCAAAAGCCAGGACAACCATGCCCCCACCAAGACACCCACAGCAGCAGCAGAAACAACAAGCACAAAAAGCTGGTGCCCATAGGAACTTCTTCCCGTAGCCTTGCTGTGCACAGTGGTTGTCCTCTTGCCAGAGAGAACTTGGCTTTGCGAAGCAGGCTGCACATGTGCAAGGGCCAGCCTTCCAGGCAGGGCGGGTCTGTCGTGTGAGCGGTAAAGTGCCTGCATAGGGGCAGCCCTAGTCTCCTAGTCTCGTGGACATGTTGCGTGTGGCCATTCGGATCAGAAGCTGCCAGTTGTTGACGACGGGCAGTTGCGCTGCCTGGTAGCTCGCTTTGTCTCCGCCACACTTCTGAGCCGAATCTTGGTGTCCCTGATTCAGACTGCGAGCTCGCCTTTTGTGGGCCTGGGAGTGACCGCTGCCGTGGCTGCCGTTGCTGTGGGCGCCGCAACTCTCCGACGTTCCCTCGTCGCAAGGCAGCTTCGTCTCGCAGGGCAGGACCGCCGAACTTGCAGTTCGATGCCAGCGATAGCGAAGCAGTATCGCATGCGATGTGCATTCGGGTTTGATCTTCAGGACATTCCCCGCAGCCTGGCTACATGGTTCTCTGCAGAGGATGTGTTGAAGCTGCGGCCTTCAGAAAGTATGAGAAGACAAGCTCTTCTAACATGTCGGCAAGGTTGGGTGTAAGAAGTTCTCGCAACATGCTGTCGGGGGTGTTGATCCGGCACCCAAGCCAAGGCAACAAGCAGCTGGCTTATGGCTTGATTTGCAGCATTTTCGGCCTGGGCAAAACCACAGCACCCAAGCCGCAAGCAACGAGACGAACTGCTGCGACAGTGCTTGTTGGCACTCATTGGTTGACGTCATCGCATCTTCCACACTTGTGGCCCGTCTGTGTTTGCAGTGCTCTGAGGCCTTCAAGGTTTGCATTGACTGCGACATCAACCCGTACAAGCCTCCTGTCTTTGATTGCTGTGCACTGCAATGCCTGCCACAAGGCAAAGGCAGTGAAGCTGAGTGCAGGAGCTTCGACGGATTAGCAGACGCGGCAGTTGCCTTCATGTGCCCCTCAGGATCGTATCCCAGCTGTCTGAAGACGAGGACCCGTAAGCAAGCTCTTGTGCATGCTTACTTTGAGGCACCTATTGCCAAGAAGTCGCTTGAAGCAGCTTCTCTTGCGAAAGTAGCACAATCGTGGAGAGCACAATTTCGATCGATTTGGAGAGAGAAAGGAAATATTGAATGTGCGCACTGGTGTACCGAGGAGTTTCGTTTGGCTGAAGAGATTGGCAACTATGTGCTAGAGAACCCGCTGCGGCGCATGTACAAGGCCGGAGAAGTCTTCATAGCCAGTCCCATGCACAGAGATTGCTATGACATCAAGTGTCGGGCTTCTAGTAATTCGTAGTTAAGTTGTGACACAAACTCCATCAGTTGTCTCCAGGCCAACTGCAAGGCTTTACTGGCCATCAAGCACAGGCATGGGAGTGCTTTGCAAGACACGATTGTCAGCGAATGCTCACACATTCTGCAGCTCGATGCGGAGCTTGTCTGCCGGCGCAGCGGCATCAGAGTGGAGCGTTCACGTGTGAGGCGAGGTGTTCGCATGCAGAAGGGTTTGCCCGTGCACTTCCAGAGAAGTAAGACGAACAACCGCACCTCGGAGAAATGAGAACAGTGCAAGGAGGGCTTCACTGAAGCTAGGCCTTGGTCATTGTCTGGGGAAGTGTGGGGAAGTCAGTATCTCTGAAGAGTAGGAGGAGGAAGCATGGCGTAGCAGATGCAGATCTTGCATGTTGTGACCAAGGCAACGCTCGCAAGCTGAACCCCAGCCGATTCTGAGCGTCCACCTTTGAGCTTGTGGAACTCTCATGCTTCAGTCACCCGAATCAACAGACCTTGGTCCCTGGACGCCTGCACAGAGAAGTAAAGGTAAGCTCGATCAGTGACAATTTCATGGTTGCCTCCTTCCTCTTTCAGCTCTGGCACCTGCGAGCTCCCAGAAAAGGACCAAAAAGGCAGGAGCCGAAGTGTCGGCTGACCTGGCTCAGAAATGGCTGTTTAATCCGGCGAAGGATCCGGCAGTGCTACAAGCTGTTTGCGGGTGGAGAGTAGAGGGTGCTTCGCTTCGCGCGGCTGCAACCCATTGAAGACATTCCATCAGCCGTGCTGGGCTCAGGTGCCGACGCCAGCGAAGTAACCGAACTTCGCTGTGGCAACCGGCATCGGTCCAAGATCCAAGAGAGGATACGCCGGACCTTGCAACCTCAGATGCAAGTTGTGCCGCCAAGGGACGATCAAGGTGCTCGCAGTATTTGGCTCTACCTTCTCGATCACCCTTCATGTTTTGCCGCCCTTTTTCGTCACTTTCCGAGACGCCCGAGGCTTGGAGACCTCTCCGTCACACAATCGAATCTGTCCAGGCTAAGACTAAGATTCGGCCCATGCGCGCAGAACAGGTTTTCAGTCCAAGGAAGCACCGCCGAGCTTGGGCAATCGGTATGGCAGATCACGATAGCATCTACATGTCACGCTTCTTGTGCAGCTGTTTTTTCACCTGCCGAAGCAGAGTCCGAGGCCATGTCGCTCGGATACAGCGGCGACTCGCCCCCGCCCTCGCCATCGCGGCGGGAGGTTCGCAGTGGTTTGTTCTCGGTGCTGTGATGCTGTCCGACGTTGCGGAAGCCGCAGGCAGCGGCTGCGGCCAAAAAGCACAAGGGTGGCGTGGAGCGACTGATGCTCTCAGCTCCAGCCCCACATGGCCGGGCCACTTTCGCGAAACGAAAGTTCGACATGCTGCGCTGCCCCGAGGTCCGAGCGAAGATTGGGGATGCCTTGGACATCGATGGCTTGCCAAAGGCCGGAAGCGAGGAATTTGCAGTCGAAAGGGGAGTTTTCCACACGGCAGGAAGCTGCGCAGCTCCTGGCCGAGGCCGAGGCACTTCTACGGAAAGGCAAAGGGTGGGGGAAGCGCACAAAAGGCCATCAAAGAAGCTTCATCCTCCTCCATCGAGGCGAGCAAGAGCTCGCAAAGCCGCGCTTGGAGCGCATAGTTGCCGGCATCGATGCCGAGGATGCTCGCAGCTGTGAACCTTGTCCGCTTGTCCGTTGCACCGCGGCTAGGGAGTGTGCAACGAGAGGATATGTTTCATGGAGCAGATGAACACGCAAGGCGAAAATTTCAAAGTGGATGCGCAGCAGGGCTCATGACTCATCTGGCGTGCGGTCAAGATCGCGTCAGGCGGTCTCTGCTGCACACATATACAGATCTGGACCCAGAAGCAGCTGCGGGACACCAGGTGCCTCCCTTTTTGTTGATGGAGACTATGTGCTTTGCGATGCAAAGCCTCGTTGACAAAGTCACACGCTGTCACAGTCCAGACTGCACTGCTCTTTGGTGATGCTTCTCTCCGTCTCGCCGCGCCAGGCCACATCGCCTAGTCGACGAGCTTCTTGCCTGCACAAAGTCGCTCTCCAGACCAGTGACAGATTCAACTTGACCACATGCAATCTTGGCCTGCTAGCAGGCAGCGGACATGATCACCTCTCCGAAAGCAAGTGCAAAGCAGGCCTTGGGAAAAAGAGGAGAAACGCTGAAAAAGGAATCTCATGTGCGATGCGAGTGGCTCTTCCTGCCATAGTGACAGGCGCTGCATGCTGAAGCAGTCGCCAAGCTCCTGGAGAAGGCCGTCCTATAGCAGGGTTCGGGCTTTGGTGCTGGTGTTCAAAGTCGGTGCATTGCGCATCAACAGGCCTTGCCTTTCCTATGCATGATGCTGCATGGCAAGCTGCCTCTGTAGGCGGGGCACTTTGACTTCGATGCGATTGCCTTTGCCGCGCTGCCCGAGGCAGGGAATGTGCTTTCAGAATCATAGCACATGCAGTCATCTGCAGTGGCTAGCATTTCTGGGGCTGGCCTTCTAGATGATCTGCGGAGCCTACATCTTGACAGACTCGGCATGTTGCGGTAGACAAGCAATGACAAGCAGCTTGAGGTTGAAGGCAAGCCCCTCACCACCTTGGGCACGTACTTGCTGTCGTCCTGCGGGTACATATCGGGACTGGAGGACTGCCCACTCCAGGCGACACACTGCTAAAGTCCATGCCTCAAGACATGCTTTCAGATCGGTTCAGGCGAAGATGAGCACTGTTTGCATCATGATTCTGAGGACAGGTGATTCAGGGGTTCTTCGGCATCATAGGCTCCAAGCAGGTCACCCGAAACCCTGCGCGAGACCATAAACTTAACCACGCACATCCCAATTTGGGCAAGCAACCAGAGGAGGAGCGGTGGTAGACTCTGCGATGAGCCCGCAAACGTGAAAGGACAATGGATGGCTAGATTGTCCTCGAGGCGCTACCTTCGAGGGCCGCGCCTCTTGACTTGAATGTAGGCTTTGGTACGTAGCCCAACTACGATGCGTAAGCAGCACAACCTATTTCTACACACCTATGGTCTACTCGTGAAACACTTGTTGGTGCATCCTGTGGATATTTCGAGGTGGCCCGGTTTCTGCGCGAGATTGACAGAAGATACTTGTCGAAGGCAGGTGGGGTTTCCGCCGGATGCCCAAAGAGCCAAGGCAGTTACCAGTTGCAACGCCAGTCGCTAGATCCTGCGTTGTCATTGCAAGCTGATTGCAAGCTTCAAGTGCGGTGTCCGTCGCCTGACATGCTTCGTTTGCAGGCACACCGGCCGGCAGTAACTCTCGATTCACTAGCGTCGCCATGGCTGCCGTGCAAGTGGTGCAGTTGCCGCCTGCTTTTTGGGGCGAGCAGGCAGTCTACGGGCCTCACTACCGTGGGGGCCTGGCGCCGCCGCCGGATTGGTGGGCACAGGCGGCGCAAGCCTGTGCCCTAAACCAGGGGCAAGTTGCAGCAATGCAGCGAATGTTCCTCCCTTTGCAATGGCAGACCGTTCGCGGTTTCAGCTACCAGCCAGTGCAAGCACCAGCCATGCAGCTGGCAACCCCTCACTTCACATCCCCTGCACCGCCCACGCCTGGGCCTGCCCCCACACCACAGCCCCCCCCGCAACCAATCCATCCAACCCCAGCAAACATCCCAACGTCCGCCCCCACGAGCTCACCCAAGAGCCCAGCACAACCTTCCTGGGCGGACTTGTCCGAGGATCTCGCTCCACCGAGCCAGTTTGAAGAGTTGCCAACTCTGCTCCCCAAGCCAAGCAAGGGTAACGGGAAGGGAAAGGGCAAGAAGGGCAAGAAGTCTTCCAAAGGAAGCGACAACAGTGGCAAGTGGTATGGTTACACAGACTACTCCTGGAGCTACCAGGGCTACCAGTATGGCGGCTGGTACTGATTTTCCGCAGGTGACAATTAGTATGCGGCGGAATGCGCAGATTGCTCCTGGAGCTGCCGGCGCTACCAGTATGGCTCCTGGTGCTGAGTTTACACGCGATGGTAGGAGTGTGTCACCTGGCCATCAACTGTTCAGCAGGCTTTAGGGCATGACTAAGTCATCTGCCTGTCGACGAGAGACGCGGGGTGACAAAGCCTCCCCCGAGCGGAATGGCCTTGTCTCATAGACTGCACTCCCGGATGCCATACGCAGAAGATCAGCATCCGTTAAACGTCTGGCCAAGAAACATGTCGGGCCCGATAGCACGGGAAATCCCATTTCCCGTGATTCCTGCCAGGAGGATCCCTGCAAGGTAACGTGCACTGCCCCTAATGCAGAGCACCGGTGTGCAAAAGAGTGCGCATCTTGGCAGGCCATCTATCACAGCTCTGTCCATGCTACAGATGTATCCTGGCTGCAGGGTGATAATTGCTTGACAGTTGTGACGCGCCGATGCGATTTCAAGGTGATGGCAACGACTTGTTGGTTGCTTCGGCAACCGTATTTCATGCAGCGAACGTCGCTCCTGGATTACACCGTCAGCGCAGCCCTGCTGAAATACATTCGGCATCATGAGCTGCACCACCCCTTTGCCACTGGAAAAAAGGAGACTCCCCCAATCAAGGTAATAGCAGCCGCTATGCACGATGTTGGGCACCCTGGCAAGTTGGGAGAGATGCACTTGGAAGGTCAAAGCCACTGGATTTCGTGGTTCTGCGAGTTGAATGCCTCAGTGACAGCTTGCAGCTTTCCGAATTTCTGACTTCGCAGTCCTAGCTGCTCGGGCCGCAAGGCACCCTGGCCTTAACAACGAGTTCCAGAAAGCAACCATGTCCGAGCTGGCGTTAACCTACAACGACCAGAGTGTGCTCGAGAATTTTCACGCTGCGCTCCGCGGCTAAAGCTGTCCGCAGCAGGGATGTCGGCACTTAACGCCTATGCCATCTTAAGCCGATGCCTTGCTGTACCGACGACCTCTCGTCAGGACGGCCTTCGATATCTTAACGCACAACGAGGCTCCTCCCTCTTCTCTGCCATGCGTTTCTTCAGCACGCCCTTCAGGTCGACAGTCCTACGGTTGATGATATCAATCCTGCATTACCCATAATAAGGAATATGCCATAGTTCCCATAATTTAGGCTCATTAAGTTAAGGTAACGCAGGATTTTCTGTCATCAACAGTATATCTACTGCCTGACGAAGTGCTGACTTGGCTGTGTTTGGATTGATGCGAGACCGGTCGGCATTGATGGGAGGACTGCAACTGGTTCGTCCTGTTGTCGCGAGATTTCCGCAACGACGGAAGCGAGGCCGGTCATGGCTGTATACTGTACATAAAGATTTGGGGGTTTCCGGAAATAGGGGACCCTAATATAGTACCTTAAATAGCAGGATCCTCATTATAAGGACCCCAGAAAAAGGTACCCCTAATTTCGGAAACTCCCATTTGGGCTGTAGAGTAGGCCTTTGGGAGTGTGGCACGCAGGACGCAGGCGGAGGACGCGAGGGACGCAGGGGACATGGGGCAGGACGCGACGCGAGGGAGGCGGGTCGGGACGCGAGGGACGTGGGGAACCTTTGCTTACCAAACCAAACCAGCAGCCGAACCAAGCCAAGCCCAGGCATCTTTCGTTCAGAACTCCTGTCCAACCGAAGCTCACAGAAGACCTTGCCTGGCCTGTTTGGCAGAAGACCCTCATTGACGGAAGACCCTGTGTAACAAGTTAATCACAAGACTCGCCAAGCCGGGCCAAGTTGAAATCAGAGCTTTCAACCAACAGAAGACCCAGACAGTTAACTAGCAGATGGCCTTACACTACAGGAGACGGGGCAAGGGACACTGGCGGGACGCGAGGGACATCCCAGACGGGGGACGCGCCTATCTTGGGTCGTCCTGCGGCAAGTTCTAAGGTTTCAGCAGCAGTAGGTACTCAGGCATGATGAGGCAATAGCAGGCACATGTTTCAATGCAGCTGTAATCAGACTGTCCCTTTGTGCTGAGGCCGAACCAGTCAACCTTCAAAAGCGCCTTGTGCAGCAGAAGTTTTTTTTTGCTGCTTCTTGCAGCATCTGGAATCTGAAGCCCGAAAACCTGACCTGACATGCGCTTAGACCCGAGTCCTTCACTAGGGCTGTCAGATGCTGCAGCAGACCGTGGCAAGGTACGTCCGCAGGCTACTCATCACGATAACCCTGGGGACGGATATGGTCCGGGTCTTGCTGATTTCACGCTTTCTGGCTCTTGCACGAGCATGTTCTTTAAATCTTCAGGCGAAGCATCGTCAGCATCAGAACGACTGTCTGAAGCTGGCGGAAGAGGCGTGCAGTATTGTGCAGTGGATTGAGGTCGAATCCAAATGTTTCCAGTGGAGCGAGGCTTCATGAACCCTGATGTGTCCGTTTGAGGAGACTGGCTCAGCTGAGCTCCCACATGGGCAGGCGGCGCTGGAGAGGTGCCATTGGCTGTGTGTGGCCGCAGACTTGTCTTCGTCCCTCAGGCTGGTAGAAAGGTGACATAGTATCTGCTGCGCCTGACAGGACAGAGCTGCTGTTGCAGAACCTCGTGCACGCTGCTGACACATGGATGAACTCTGAAAGCAGACGATGGCGAATGTGCAAGACCCTGTAACTGAGGACATATCGAATCCTACCAAGCCAAGGAAGATAATGCTAGGCGCCACCTGCATTTTGTTCAAGGTCTGATGCGTGAAAAACACGAAGGAAACGAAAAGGAGAGAGACAGGGCGGGGCCAGGTGTGCGGCCTCTGCCGCAGTAAATCCCGACAAGCCTTCTCAAGCCGTCAACTGTCCACTTGAAGCATCCTTGCCGTTCTTGCCAGAATGGACAAAGAGGGTGACGCAGGAGTTCTGGGCGCAGGCATCCTCTGCTCTGCATGATAAGCCGGATGAATATGGAGGGCCACATCAGCAGTTGCTTCTTGTTTCCCATCGTTCACTCTGGCAGGGAGACGAAGAGCAGCGGCTAGGACTGTTCGGACCTGAATGCTGCTGCAATGTTAGTGCTGAGTTCGCTTCTAGCTTTTGACACTGCAACAGACCTCTCTTTGAACTCAAATGAGAGTGCGCAAGGAAAGTGAAGAATTAGACTCTCAAAGCAGCATGATTTCGTCGTCGACTGCCCGTTTCAAAGACGCTGCCTTTCTGGCTTCATCTGCTTTCGCTCCTGACCTGCTTTCATTATGCTTCCGTGAAAGCTGAACTTGAACGGTGCAGACCGCAAGGGCTGTCGTGCGTATCGGCGTAGGTTCATGGTCTCGCATATCTTCCACTCCACACACCACGGGGAACCTCTCCTGTGTGCAGTCGGATATGAAAAGACGCCAGCTAGTTTACATTTGTGTTGGGCTAGTCCGCGTCCTCCATGGAAGCTGCAGGCCAATTTCACCGATGTGCAATCGGACTGCTGAGCAGGGTCGCATCCCGCAAGGGCAGCAACTTGGCAGCTTTCATCAATGTCTCGCCTAATGCCAGCAAGCCTGAGCGACTTTGCGCAGAGAACGAAAGTAGATACTTGAGCCTGGACTGGCCGGATGCTGCAGAAGAGCTGATGACCCATTGTCCGACTCAGGATCAATTTCATTAACTTCGTGGTGCAGCCCTATTTCAGCATCTTGGCTTCAAATGCCAGGAGCGATGCCTCACAGCGGTAGCAGACCACACGACTGGGTCGTGAGAGCTGCCGTTCCACTTTGTCATCGGAGTCGGGCAACCACGGGCTGCAACAGCACTGTGACAAAAGCTAGCGCGACAACCACCTTGCTTGCAAAAATGAGAAGAAGACAGCGACGCACGTCAGATGTCTTGCGATGTTGTAGCTTTCCAAAGTCTGACCACACGACTATCATGCCCGGAGAAGATTTTTTGCCAGCTTCAATCGCACAGTTTTTACTGAGCTGTTACCACCATGCTTCACTGGTTAGGGCCGCACGACGAGAGCTAAGGTTGCATTGCTCGACTTTGTCCAGGAGTCGGGGAGGCAATGGAATCGTTAGCGGCCAACAAGGCCTTCTGGGAGGCCAGGCCTGACATGGTCCCGGAGTGCGGTGACAGAGATGCCTCGGAATGCCACACGAACCACGCAGGAGAAGAGTAGAGAGGGAGCCTCTTTTGACGAGCTCTTCCCCGCCGTGACGATGTGAGAGGGCTGTAGTTAACTAAGATCAGGGGGCGCTCCCTTCAGATGAATTCTTCTGATGCTTTAGCTTACGTGAGGCTGCACGGTTTTGGCGATGTCAAAATGTATGACCGCGTAGCATCCAACGTGAGTCCGTCTTATCTCAGCACAAAGAGGCATTGTTTCACATTGCTCCCAACTGGGATGTTCCACGTGCGGGATGTTTCTGGTCCATCCCCGCGCATGGCTTGCAAAAGGATGCGAGTGTGGATGCACGAGGGTTGCGAGTGAACCCAGGGGTGCAATGCCATGCCCCCACAGCCCCCACCTGCATCATCACCTTCTGGTTCTGGTTCGCAAAGGCACCGCTTCCACAAGTCGTGCATTACAACATGGATGGTGCAACCGACTCAGATTTGAAATCTGGGTGTACGTGGTGTGTTACGGGAACATCTTGCAACCGCCTGTGCATCGTGCGCAAAGCACTGCAGCCCATCGTGCCAGGTGGCCAGCCTGGCAATCAACAATGGTGTTCCCAGGCTTTCCTTCAGCCTTCAGCTTCATGACTACACCGCGGATTGCTCCTTCCATGTCCTGCAGCACAATGGTACCTTGAACATTCGGGCTCGTTTCGGCAGGGTGAATGGTTGCATTCAAAGAACAGTTGTCAAAAGGCAGGCGGAAGATTTCAACCAATTATAACTCGCAACATCTAGGCAACGTTTTAGCAAGGCAGTTCAGGGCGAGTCAGGTCTTGATTTTGGCGACAGGTTCCAAGCCCGAAGATCGCAGGTGCCCACTATGCCGCAAGAATATCGACGTGGATCGCCCAGTGCAGGCAAGAGCTGTGGTGCGACTGAGAGTTCCATCAGAATTGCATCGTTGCAGAGCAGTCGAAGGCAGTCGCACTCTTTCATCATCGCCACACTGGTGAGCACAACCTGCCTCGCATCCAAAGCTATGCCGCCAGCATGCAGGGTGGTTCACGGAGAGACGTTCTCGACCTCAGCTTGCAGGCCGACTCAAAGACTTTCTGTGTGGCGATGTAGATATGTAGATAAGACTCGCAACTCACAGGCTTCCCTGTGCTGTTCACAGGAACTTACGGCGGTCGAGCGCTTGCTTGAAGACGCCCCGTCCCCAGCGTAGATAGCCTGACTCGCGATTCGCAGAGTACCCTGGTTCGGCAAAATCGCGTCTGCTGCAGCTGGCTTCAGTATTGACGGATGTCAAAGCTAAGTGTGATGCGCATTCCTGCACAAGTACAGGGAGTGGGAGAGTGTGATAGATGGCTAGCTCGTTTGCAGAGAAGCTGTATCGTACGACACGGTTTGTTGTAATCACCGTGTCGCAAATCGCAACAGCAAACTATAGTGCATGTATGGATGGATTGATGAATGTAGGTATGCATGTCGTTGCATGTAGATCTACATATAAATAATCTATATATACACATTTGTAGCATAATTTTGTTCTAATGTATGGTGTAAGTTTATACTGCATTGTATTATAGTATCTTATAATAGCTCCATAATACTATGTTCCTTATTGGGGGTTAATATGAGAACATTTTGGTACATGTTTCATACTATATTAGTCTATGTATGTTATCATATTATGTTATACATCAAATCGGATATTGCACTATGCCATGTCATGTTATATTGCATGTGACATATTACATCATGTATGACATCAAAGAATACATATATGTACACACATTGTGTTGTGGATTTTGCTATCATTATGTTCGAAATTATACAGTTTGTCTTGCACGTTAGATGTTATATCTCATTTTGTGTAACGTCCTATGCTAAACATTAGTTTCTATATACTATATTGCACTTGAATGGCATACCTCATATATCTGGTTGATACTTGATCGTTGCGTGTGCAAAGGTTCGATTTGCTGTTCTCGAGCAGCGATCCGTCATTTCGAGTGACGTCCTGAGGAAGCGTTCGCTTTGAGTTGATGCGGAATGTGTGCAAAGTTAACCGCGGGTTTACGCTGTTGTTGGGGGGGCTTACCCGGATTGTTTCGAGAGGTGTTTGGCGAGTGGTTGGCTTGTGGGGATATCCGGTGGGTTGATAGGGTTCTACAACGTACTGGAAGGGGTAATTATAAGCTCCTCGTACGAGATGACCGATGTTGTGACATGGATTCAGGCGATTTGTGCCTGACCTAAAATGGCATCAGGACAAGGATGTTCCAGGCTAGCATTTACTGTAGAGGCTCAGAGCGGATGACAAGGGGTTTGCAGGATCATGACTATAAACTTTGCCTGCATGTTAAGGCCACGTGGAGAGCCAGGCGGTCGAAAGTGGCAGATGGCTTAGATGCCCTTTGCTGTACAAGTCTCAAACTATTTTTTTTCCTAATCGATTCTTGATGCCTGCCCTGGCATGCTCAGGCTCAAACTCCCCGTCAACGGCTCAACTGCGAGCCGCGCAGCTGCGAGCTTTGGCCGCGCACCTGTTTTGACTTTGCATCACATGAAAGTCACTTCAGTGAATCATCGAAGCACACGTGTCTAGATTCCGAGATCAGGCCAAGAGGCACGTAGCCAGGGATGAGCATGAGAGAGCCACTTGCAAGCCGCGCCACAGATGTTGGAAGACCGCGTGGCCGAGCTTCGGTCGGCTGTTTACGAGCTGCAGGCTTCCCTGAAAGCGGTCTCCGATCTCCCCCACCCCGGAAACTTTACTGCGCTGCTGCACTACAATCTTTTTTGGGGAGTTCGGTCGCGACTGGTGTCAAGGCTAAGCGTTGCCCAGAGAAGCTTTCCTTTCCAACCTGCGTGGCCTGCGCCAGTCTCGTCTCAGCTTGCTCTGAGAAGTCTGAGTCTGCTTAGAGTGGGACTAGCTGGGTGCAGAAAGACTTGTGGTTGAACGTGTTGCTGATCAGTTTATTTGTTTATCGCATTGCGTCACCCACCTTGAAAGTCCCTTGAGGGAGGCAGATATGAGCCGAAGCTAGGCAAGTGTCAGCATGGTACAGACACACACCTGATTTCGTCATGTCTGCCTTGAGTTTCACAATGTCTGGAGCATCACAAGAGTTGGTGACGGCAGCTGAGCTCAGGTTGCAGATTCAAATCGCAGGCCCGGCTTGGCAAGTTACGGCGCCAAGCACAACGTCTTCCATGACAAATCGGTTTGACTTGATGGTCAAAACCCTACTAGTACTGGTACGTTATTCTGGCTCAGCTCTTGCTTGAGGCCTGCTTGAAAATGCCAAGAGGATGGCTGCATAAAGGCACATTCAGAATGTACCCGCAAACCGGGCCGCTCCTGCCACAGGAAGGTTCGGAATCGAAAAGTCCACTCGAGATGCGACTTGGCCTCACCCCTGAACCCCAAACCCTGTTGTGTAAAACGAGAGAAGCTGGACAGCGCCTTTGAGTGGCGGCATCTTTTCATGCGGGCCTCGCTCCGAATTTCAAGACTCGGACGCTTAAATGGCGGAGCAATGTTGTCGATTTGACGAAAAAAGATTAAATAGGAATATAATCAAATTCCAAGGAGATCATAAAATAATTAGACAATTTGATGACCAGAAAACCACACCATGTGCAGGAAGATATTAACCTTGATCTTGTTTAAAGGTCTACTACGGATATAAATAAAATGAATGATATTTCGTATATTCTGATTTATTTATTTATATTTGACATATTTATACCGTGCGCAAAAATATCTAATTATATAATTATATATTTCATCGATGAGATTGAGATTTTTTAAATATTGTCTCGAAGATAGATCTCTAATAAAATTAGATATAAGCTAATTAAATTGATTTAAATTTTAAAAATTAGATTCTATAATAAAATAAATTTTATAATTAATTAGAAGAGTATTGAATAATTTTGAATTTATTTCTATTATTTTTAGAAGTAGTTTTTCGATTATTTTTTTTGATTATATTATTGTATATTTATTTTAATTGAATTTTTTGTAATATTCGTAGGTATATATTTTTAGTTTTATATAATAAGCA